CTCCTGTGAACAAAATTAACCTGCTCACAGGAATGGTATTCTAGTCTGATAATGATTTGATTTGCTGTCTTGTTATTGATTTGTGCACCAGCTTTCATGTTGAAATAGATGAGGTTCCTGACAGAACCATTACTGTAAAGACCTCCAATCAACTGCTTTCTGCTGCAGGTCTGTCAGTCAGGCTGACTAGGAGATAACCCTGAGGATGTGTATTATCAGGCCTTTTTCATCTCTGCCTTTCCCACTGCCAAGACATTCTGTAAGCAATTATGATCCAGACAGAGCCTGTCCTCTGATGCCTAAGACAGCATCTATGGATCACACAATCTTTGCTCAGAGAAAGCCATTGGTGTCAGAGGTACCAACTGGAGTGTTGCTTGCCCAGTATTTCCTCTTAAAGAAAGAAGAAGAGATTACAGCTCAAAGTTCCTTAGCATGGTTTTGATACTCACAAAAATCTTTGCTTTGAACATTGGATAGAAGATATCGATCAGATGATAGAGCTCTCCTTCCTCTATTTCCATTATGATTAGATCAAGGATAGAATGAGCAAGTGAATATTCTCTGGTTATGGAACTGTAAGCTCAGTTTGCCTCATCAACTTGTCACCCTATGCATATTAGTAGGAATCAAGCAATATGACCTCTTCTTGCAACTTTCCCATCTCCTATATTAGTCATCTTATGGGTTGCCATAACAAAATACTATAAATAGAGTGACTTAAACAATAGAAATTTATTTTCTCACATTACAGAATTTGGGAAGTCCAAGGTCTAGGTGTCAGCTGACTTGGTTTCTTTCAAAGGCCATCTTCGTGGCTTTGGACAGTCAGTTTTTTCTCTTTGTCCTTACACTGTAGAAAGAGTCTCTCTCTCTGTCTCTCTTTCTCTCTCTCTCTCTCCCTCTCTCTCTTTCTCTCTCATATCTCTTCTATGATCACTAATTCTGTCATAAAGGCCCCTCCCTCATAACCTCATCTGAACCTGATCACCTCCAGATATCATCACATTGAGGCTGAAGTTTCAACATAGGACTTTGGGGTGGGGGTACAATTCAGTTCATAACATATGGCTTAGTAAAATTTTTGCATAGTTATTCACTTATTTAACAGAAAACAGTAAATCCTACTTATTATCTTGGTATTTTTTCAGAAAAATGCCAGCTGTGTGATTTACCAGTGGTGCTAGATTTCCATGAGCTTTATATTGTTTTTCTCTCCTCAGCTGGGTCATAGTTAAAGAAAAATGCTGATATATACAACGGTATCCTTACTAACCACAGAGCAGGAACATTTTAGAAGGGTAAATATATTCCCAGGACTCTACAGGAATACTCATCCACCTCTTTGCACATTTCCAGCCGTGCTTGAGTTCAACCTTGATATGTGTGAAGGTTGTCGTGGTCAGTCATGTATATCTGCCACTGTCTCGTTTGCTTATTGGCAAGTACAGCATGTCTCTAGTTCTTTAGACAGACTGAATTTATAAGGATCTAGCCCAAGGATACCATCATTCTTTTGACCTTCCACATTTCCCCCTTTCTTTCTCCCTTGCTTTTTTCTTACTTCATTTTTACATTTAAGTGCCTTTATGCTGTTACTGTCAAATCAAGTTTGTGACCTTGTTAGCTGGGAATGAGGGTATGAAGTCAGATTTTTTCATGCCTTTTTGTATTAGTAGTCCTAAAAATAGATGAAATTTTTTTTTTCTTAACTGTGCCATTCACTTGGTAATTTACTCTCTCTGTGTTCAGTAAGTGAAAAGGTTACCTTTTTTCTTTGGTGATTATTGATTACAAGGTTTTCTATAACATGCTCACAGAACAGCTGAGATTTTATAAATAGAAGAAAGAAGGCTGAAGGGAAACTTTTAGATCTCTGTCTATCCTTTATGGTGTTAAGAATTTTAAAAGATGAATGTGACATACTAAGTTCAGTTTTAATATCTCAAATTATTGTAAGACTTTTAAAAGTCTTTTAAAAAAGCAAAAATGTTATTTAATTCAATGCGACACTTGCTTAAGTAACTCTAAGACTTGAATTAAAAATTTATATATAATACATTCCTCTATCTTGAATCTGAGAAGTCAGATAATAGAAGTTTGCTAACATTTTTGTGAATCTTTAGAATCTTGAAAACCTTTTCATGTACACTTTCTTTTTCATTCCTCAAAATAATTTCATAAAGTAAGTTAAAAGCAATATTCCCATTTGAAAAATAACTTGCCAATTATTTGATAAGTCCCCATATTTTATTATACCAATTTTATGTGGTATAAGCAAATGTTAGTGATGCACATTTAGCACATTTACTTTACCTTGTTGTTGGAGTCTGTTACAAAGCAAACCCAAAATTTTGACTTTTACCCTGAATGTTTTAGTGTGTGTGTATACAAGTGCATGTGTGTGTATGTATGTGTATATATGTAGGTATATATACATATACATATATGTATAATTTTTAAAAGGAAATTTTGAGTTTTGTTCTTGTTTTTCATTTTGTTTTTGAGACAGGCTCTGCTATGTAACCCAAGCTGGCCTTGAACTCAAAATCCTACTATTTCCACCTTCCAGGTGCTAGGATTACATCATGCACCACCATGCTCAATTAAGATATTTTCTTAATGATCACAATACCTTTATCATACCCAACATAATTAACAATAATTCTTTAGTATCACCAAGTACCCAATTCTTATTCAAATTTCTCTGATTGTCTCCAAAATGGCTTCTTATTTTTGAATCAGGATTTTTTAAAACAAGACCCACACATGGCATTAGTAGTTATATCCCTAAAATCACTTTTAGTTTTGCATCTACCTTTCCCACATTTATTTTCATTCTGTTGACTTGCTAAGGAGATCAAAGGGTAGTTCTTCAGATTTTTAACTCAGTATTCTTCCCCCACAGATATAAATTTTAAATTTAAATAGAGAAAGAAATAAAACTAATAAAATAATAAATAGAAGATAATTCTATGTCTTGACTATAAAAAAATTAAATTTTTTATTTAAAATAGAGGTCCACTGAGGAGGTTATTATAACAAATGCTTTGTAACAGGTAATTTCATAAACAACTTTAACAAAGCATCCAAAATAGCTATATTCTTCTGACTTTATGTTTGTGTAACACTTTTTCTAAAATCAGTCACCAATAAAGATAAACAAGTAAAGAAATCAAAAATCCTACTCTTTGCCAATAACATAGGCTTAGTCCAGATTTTCTTTTACTAACTAAAGAAATACTGATGTTAAATCTTAATTCTGGTACATATTTGCTTGTTACCTAAATCAGGAGGCTCTCAATTATTTTCTTATTTGCAAATACTTCATCATCTTTATTGCTCTTATCAATGAACAAATATTATACATTTATCATATAGTATCAATGTAATAGTAATGCTTTTTAATGATTGTTATGTCCCATCTTGTGTTAGTTGAGTTTTCCTTATTACAATGAACAATCTGAGCCAGATAATCCTGGCTCAGATTCAGCTACTTGGAAGACAGAGATAGGTTTAAATTTTAAGGCCAGTCCAAGCAAAAGTTAGTGAGACCCTATCTCAAAAATAAACCAGTCATAATGCCTGCAATCCCAGTTATTCCAGGATTGGAGATGTAGAAGAGTCATGGTCTGAGTCTGACCCAAGCAAAAGCACAAGACCCTATCTGAAAAATAAACTAAAGCAAAGCAAAAGACTGAGGGCATGGCTCAAGTGGTAGAGCATTTGCCTAGAGAGTGTGAGGCCCTGGGTTCAGTCCTCAGTACTGAGAGGAAAAAAAAAACTTATAAAGAGAGTTTATTTTTAGGTTCACCTTTTTAGAGGTTTCAGTCTACATCCAGTTGCCCCCATTGCTTTTGGGTCTATGGCAAAACAGCACATCACAGCCAGCAACACATAGCAGAGCAAAACCTATTATTTACTTCATTCCTGGAAATCAAAGCAAGAAAGAAGAAGGGCAAGGGTCCCACAATCCCAATGACCAAAAGACTCCCACTAGGCCCCATCTCTTAAAGTTTCCACCACCTCTCCACAGTGCCAAGGTAAGATCTGTAACATCCTTTATATATATCTTATATAATCTAGCTCAGTGTTTTGCAATATATACTCTGTTGTCAACTAGTAGACTGAATTCCCAGCTTCCAGAAATGACAACAAATAATAGAGGAGAAGATAAAAAGAACTGAGAATTTCATCACCAAAGGATTTAAGGATAAAGCATAGGAATCTGTTGTATAAAAGTAATTCCTTGTTTTTTCCCAGTGTTGTGTAGACTTCTGGTTGCCTAAGGTAGTTTTATTTACAGAATTTTCTTTGATTTTCCTAACTTGTTTGAGTTCTTTCCTCAGTATATAAAAGAAATAATATGAAACTGCAAAAATGATTTTAAAAAAACTTCTCAAAAAATTGCTTACAAATAAATATTTTGGTTATTCTGAAATCTGTTGGTTAAAGTACATTCTCTAATACATACCATTTATGTTACAACTAATTGCATCCTTTTATTTCAAATGCAGGCACTTCTCCTTTGTGCCCTCCCACCCAAAAGGATGACTTGCAGAGTAAAAAAAATAGGTATTTTTAAAGTGCTCATTATTCCTGGGAAAGGAACATTTCCATAACAGCACAACCATCCCTTTTTGCAAAGTGCATTGTTTGTGTACCATTTGTTTCCACATGTATCTGGTGTTAAGAAAACACATGGTGGCAGTTAACTTGTATACAGTGTACTATCATACTGAATTGGTCAAAACCTAAGCATTTAACTCTTTCATGTTTACAACCTAACTACACATGTAAGAGCAGGTCTCGTTTTTAAGAGTCCGGTTATGTCACACTATCTTGATGGAAGCAATTATATCAATGGTTCAAGAAATTCAAATGGCCTTTTCTTCATTCCCCTTTGGAAGGGTCAGTGCCATTAAGGGTATTACTGAGAGAAGCACAAGGTGATTTTATTTCCAGAGTTATTGATTCATGCTTCCCCTGCTTTGTTTCAGGTGGATCATTCATGCTATGGAATATGAATTACAGATCCGTGGCGGAGACAAGCCAGCTGTTGACTTGTATCAGCTATCACCCAGTGAAGTTAAACAACTTTTGTTGGACATTCTCCAGCCTCAACAGAGTGGAAGGTAATTAGGGCTCTTTATTATCTGTAGGACACTGGATCTATAGAAACACCAAGATTCTTAATTGATATGTGTATGAAATTAATATATGTATATAAAATTGAAGAAGAAGTCAAATTCCGCAGAGTATCAGAGGCTACCTTACTAGATTGAAAATATAAGCAAAGAGGCTAATGAAAATTTCTGTCTTAACATGATTTCTTATTTATACTTTTGAATTTTATACTTTTTTCAGCTATAGTTTTAAAGCATTTCCTCATTTTTATTAATTGTGTACAAAATATAACACTTTACACCAGTTTGATGAAATTCCTTTTATGAAACTTTATAGCATCCAGCATCTCCTTCCAACATTTTAGCAGAAGGGATTAGGTTTGGGTAACATTATTTAAATATGTTTGTAACCTGTGATTCTATCTACCTAATTAGACTGTAAGCTTCAGGGCTAACTCCTTTCAGACTTAATTTGTGGTAGCCTTAGAATAAGAACAAAACAAATATTTGTAAATTGACTTGAATTTAAGATTTTTTTCAAATTTCAGAATGAACTTTAATTATTTAAGCAAGTATTTTTTGAGCATTTTGTGCCTAGCCTTCTGCAAGGTGATAGAAGTTATATGCCTAGAAAATTCTGCCTGGACTTTCTACAAAAGTCTACAAATATATATAATATGATAGAGATGTGTCAAATGGACACTGAAGACAGCTAGAAGGAGCCTCTATGCCACCGCTGGATCATTTCAAGTAACATGATAATAGTATTAAATTATAACCCATACAATAAATATTCATTAGTTCATGCTAACATAAATAAATAAACGGGAGAGGTGGAACTCTTCTTTGGAGCAGAATATAATAATAAGTGTGGCAAGAATGATAGAAATAAAAAATCATCTTTAGGAAAATGAAACAGTAACAATTGCTGCAAGCAAGAACCACAATATATGGAAGTAATATGAGGAATGGAAAGTGCATGATTTGAAAATTCCCACTCAAAAGACTTACAAAGTAAAGAAGCTGCAGACCCCACCTTAACCAAATAAGTAAGAGTCGCATCACCAGTAATAAGAATAGCATGTACCCCTGGTTGATGCGTTGAAGAGAATTCAATGTCACTCCTGGATAATTTTGCCAAAAATGCAGAATCTAAGTTTATAAATAAGATCCCATCAGACAAACCCAAACTGAGGAAAATCCTGTTAAACAACAGACATTTCTAAGGAGTCAGATTCATTGAGGATAAAGGAAGACTGAACTGTCACAGATTAAAGAGGAGTTTCAGGGAGGATAGATGCCATATAGGATTCTGGATTGGACTTTGGACCAAAGAACATTACTGGAAAAATTGGTGAAATGTCAGCAAGGTCTAAAAATTAATATTGTGTCAGTGTTCACTTCCTTGTTTTAGTAATTGTGCTGTAGTTGTATGTGATGATGAGAGGAGGGGGAGCTAAGTAGAAAATGTATAGGAACTTTGAGAGTTATTATTATGACTTCTATAAATCTAAACTTTTTCAATTTTTGTTTTTCAAATAAAATGGCAACAAAAATTAAAAAGAAGTCTTCTAAAATAATCCCCCCATTGTGAGTAATCTCGTGTATCTTTTTATGTTCTAAAGAAGCATCTCCCTTTTGAAGTATTAACCATGACTTCATAGAACTCTGAAACATCTTTTTTGTTGCTACTGTTGTCAAACAATGGGAATAGATGGGAGAATCAAATGCACAATGTGGGGGTTCTAGGTTATCCAAAATTAAATATCATCAAGGGACCCTAGACCTTTGGACTTCTTCACTTTCCACAAAACTGAACCCAGCAGTTACTTATTTGGTCTATTAAAAGAAACTTTATATATCCAAAAAAAAGATTCCTCTCTGAACTAGTTATCAGAATTCACTGGTCCTCTTTTATAAGAACAAAAATGTCTTTTTCTTTTTACTAAAACCTACATAGATTTTTTTTTCTGTTGGTGGTATTAATGTTTGAACTCAAGGCCTCATGCTTGCTAGGTAAGTGCTCTTCCACTTTACCACATTCCTGGCCCTTCTTGCCTGATTTGTTTTTCATATAGCATCTTACTGTTTTGCCCATGCCAGATAGATGATGCTTTTTTGAGAATTCATTTTCATTCATTTTTCAAATGCTTATTGAGCATCCTTCTGGGAGGGATGTATAGGAATGATCAAGTCATATGGTTTTCATGCCTTTATGACGCTTACATTTAATTATATGTGAGAGCCACAAAAGTTATTGTGGAATTGGTGGTTCCTTTGTTTTTTTCTGTGTTCTTAAAATAGGACTTCTTCATGTATTAGAAATAATTTCATCATTGTAGTGAGCAACTCATAGCTTACTAGAGAATAATGTTTTGCCTGTTGATTTTTTAAAATCTTGGAGATTTCCTCCTTTCCTGGAAGCTGTGTTTTTACTGTGAAATATTTACTAACCTCTGTAACACATGGCAGATATGCATCATTGATGGGTGTTAGCTTTTATTACTTGCCCTATTGGAACAGTTAATCCATTCTGAAAACCCTGTTCTACCAGAACAAGCTTGTTTTTCAATGCTGAGGCATTTTTCCTTTGTTCTATAGATGTTGGCTGAACAGGCGTCAGATCGATGGGTCTTTGAATAGAACTCCCCCTGGCTTCTATGACCGAGTGTGGCAGATCCTGGAGCGTACACCCAATGGTATCATTGTAGCTGGGAAGCATTTGCCACAGGTAAACCTTACTGTGTTTATATTAAGAAAAGGGACCTGAAGAAGTGGAGAATTCTTCCTTCTCTGTGCTACAAATCTGTTTTTCAGTGTTCTAAAAGTATCCAAAGGAGGACTATCTAGATATTCAAAAGGATGAAATACTAGAAAATAAGAAGTCTAATCAATTGGATTGGAAATGTTTTCCCCAATCTTAAGTTACTTTTATTTTTCAATTTTAGGGTTCTTCTATATGAAAAAGCTTTCTTTCTGAAATGGATACATTACAAGGAAGTTATATTTGATTAAAAATTGTATTGTCATATTTAGATATTCCAAGGAGCCTCTCTGTACAGGTACCACATGACCAAACCTCTTGCTGAGCAAGCTGTCCTTCTTCTCTTTACCTATTAGTGAACTTAGGGTTTCTTTATTTGATTTTACATAGGAGTATCCTTTCACCACCAAGCAGTGTGGACCAGTGCTGAGTGATCTCACAAATAAAACATGCACTGAAAAGACAGAACCAGACCAAGCCTAGTAAAGCAAAGTGACCTAGTAATGCCATTAGGAAATCACCACTTAGGAATTGCTTTGAGCATGAAAAATGCAATGACTTTTGGGTCATTGAAAAGATAACCACTTACTGTACTTGAGGTGTAACTTACCTGTGGTGAGCTACGAAATGGATTAGTGCCCTCTCCTACATATGTTCCTTAAGTTATATAAAATGGCCTCCTTCTTTGAAATGATCATTTTATTTATTTAATTCTGGCTTCTAGATCATTCTGCATATACACAAAAGCAGGAAATAGAGTGCTGTATGAGTTTTCTAGTGTTGAAACTTTAACCAAATTAATTTTGATGTAGCTCTTTATTCAAATAAGGTATTCTCAAATAAACACATATGCCCTCATTTTGCTTACATATATACACAAGAGTATCCCTGGAAGGGCTCACAAGAAATTGGTAGCATTGTTTTCTTTGGGAAGAAGAACTTTATGTCTAGGGATCCAGTGTGGGCTTTTCACTTAAGCCTTTTTAACCTTCCAAAGTCTGAACTATGTGAATACATTTCTTACCCTGAAAGATGAATAAAACCATTTTTAAATATTGTTTATACTATTCATAGACTGTGAATGGTTTTATTTATAGTACACTGTGGCAACCTGTTGTTAGCACCTGTCTCAGCACCCACTAATACCTACCAAGTTTTATTTGATTCTGTGATAGCCTCAGCCACTTACATTTACTATCCTTTCATTGCTGACAATAACAACAATAAATACATGTTACATATTTTATACCCAGGTACTTTTCAAGTGTTCATTTAGTCCTCATAGCAATTTTGTGAGAAAGGTACTTTATTATTCCCATTTGACAGATAAGAAAACAGACACAGCTAAATGACTTCTCAAGGTCATATCTAGTAAGTAGTTGACCTAGAGTATGATCCCTGGCATTTTGTCTTCTGAGCCTTTTCTCTTCTCGTTACCCTACCTACTCCAAGTCCATTCAGAAGAGTAGGAAATAAGGCAAGCTTGATATCTCTTCTGTAGGCTTAATTATCATAGCCGCATAGTAGCTAGATTGCCTTTAAAATGAGATATATTAAGAGGAAATTAATGTGAAATATGAGTGTCTTCCTTTCCTTTTGTATAACCTCATTAATCCCATTGTTAGAAATTTAAACCATTACAGTAACTGTTTTGGCAACCATGACTCATTTTTCAAACATTAACAATATGTTGTGTTATAATGACTATGGAGTACAATGGATGTATTAAATAAAGGACTCAGGCATTATTACCCACATGCTGGGCAACTTTGCTGTCATTTGATTGCAAGATGACAATCAAGGGGTCCCTCATTCCCATTCTGAGTAGCAAGTAGATGTACATTGTTCCAGAGCTATGACTAAGCTTACTGTAAACAACTGGGATAAAAGCAAATTAGTACGTTTCATTATCTCTGTATCTCTGGTAATAATTCCAGTGACCCCATCTGTTTTCTACCCCACAAGCCTAACATTTAGACCCTTCCCTCCTATCCTTTGAAGGTTATTTATCTTGTCCAGATTTGGATTTGAGTTTTGTTTTCATTTGGTTTGTGAAGTGAATGGTAGATAATATAATGCTCCTGTTTTAAATAAAAGACAGAGAGTAGAGAAAATTCTTTTAGTCTTACTTTTTTTCTGTTTCCTTGCCATTTTGGCACACAATATTTTTGCTTATTTGTGTGCATTTTTATGCTTTCAGGCTCAGAAAGTACCTGCCACAGAAATGATGTAAATTCAATACCAAATGACTTACATGCTAAAGTCTGATAGCAAGCATAACTTCCTATGTTAATTCTGAAAGCAATATGTACTCTATTTGTTGTCTCAATTTTGGCTATTCTCTTTATATATCAAAATGGCTTTCTAATATATTCCTTTTCCCCAAAAAGAAAAAAATGCTTTCTAAGGCTTTATAGAAACTGAAAGAGATTAGTGATTAGAAACTAAAATTCCTTTATTAAGTGAGCAGAGTATTTCATTTAACATGTTAATGTGGATTTATTTTTTTCAGCAACCACCCTGTCAGATATGACCATGTATGAGATGAATTTTTCTCTACTTGTTGAAGACATGTTGGGAAATATTGACCAGCCAAAGTATAGACAAATTGTTGTGGAGGTTTGTATTTAAAAAAATGTATGTTGCTGAAGATGTGCTTTCTGTTTGCTTACTGAAAACTAGTATAAGAAAACTGCCCAAAAGACCAAGAATTCTGTCCCTCACCTGACTGTAAGTTCTTCCAATGCAGTGCTCAAGAAAGCAACCATCCATGACCAAAGTCAATGCACATGCACAGGTCAGCACCTTAAACTGCCCCTTCAAGATGGAAAAACTACTGCACCTTTCAACTGCACACTCTGCCCACAACAGCAAGTGCATCACCACATTATAATAGAGGAAGGGATCGTTTCTGTTCATTTTGTTTTCAGTTTTTTCAGTTTACAGAAATAATGTACTTCTATTGTAAAAAAAAAGTCTCAACAGTTCAGAAAATTAGAGAAATCAAAATTTTCCCCCACACCCAGTAGCAACAGTTCATTTCTACTAATCTTTTGAAGGACATCTTTTCAAACATGTCTCTGGGTAGAGTTAAGTGCTAAAATACACAGGAATATGCACACAAATGCATATATATGCCTTTCTGTCACTGTAAAACATTTTGTCAAATACAGTAAAGCCTCCAACCTCCCTTTTTCTCTCAGAATGTCTCCATCAGACTGTGTTTCTTGAAAGGAGGTAATATGTCTTATTGATATATAAGCTGTCAGTGAGTGATAAACTAGATATATCCCCTCCCGCACTCTAGCAATTCTGGAACTACAGTCAGAACTGAGTGAGATTCAGCCTCATCAGTGGTGTCCCAGGATGTGGAAACTGATTGGTTAATCAGTTCCATAGCATGCTGAGAAGTGAGGCAGAGACAAGGATCAGGAAAAAAATGTAGTTGTTTGAAGAGTGGATGCTTTTTTTGTGTAGTGTCCTTGGCCTTCCATGTTTAGTACCCGGCATCTGGGACATACAGTGGACATAATGGTCCTTACAGACCAAAGTGTTGTCACTTCCTTTGCAGAAGAAATTTTTCTCTAGAGCTGCAGCAAAACTTCTTCTCCTGGCTAAATCCTGCCACATGGGTTTCCCACATTGTGACCCCCTAGATTTTTACTGAAAGTGATTCCTTTGGTTCTTTCAGACTCTGTTTTGGAAGCATTTAGATAAAATATCCTCAGTAAGAGTTACCAATTGGAAACTAAGAGGTCTGTTTCCTGATTAGTATACAAAGAAGGTCATAAATGTCATCAGAAAACCTTTACCCATATTGTATAATCAGACACAATCTTCACATGTGAGAATTGTCATCTAAATAAACATTACTTCTGGGGACTAATGTATGGGGCCAACAACAGGTTGATGCATTAAAACAAGGTAGTTTATACAGACCAAATAGTACTGGTATCATAAAAGGTCAGAGTTAAGTATGTTTTTTTCAAAAAAAACCATATTTTCCCCTAAGTAATTACTATTGCATCATGTACTTACACTTGTCTTGAGGCGCTGGGCTCTAAATTGTTTGATCATAACCCTAGTCTTAGAGACTCCATTGAATCCACTTCCTTTCTCTGACTTTGTTCCCTGCCACCTCTTCCTGGAGGCCCACACACTGGACACTGTTTTTGGTGGCTTGCCAAAAAGGATTGATACCTAAAGGCCCAGAAAAAGCACAGAGAATTGAATAGAGCACTATGTGTAAGGTACTGCCGAATTAAGACCACGCCATGTGTGGAAAAAGATTTATTAGAAATCTAGACTGCGGGGCTGCCTCCCTCCCTCCACCCCCACCCCAGATCAGGGAACAGCCACTTGGGTGAATTGAATTGGGTAGTGGGCTTTATAGAAGGGAGGGAGAGAGTCTCTAGTTTCTGATTATCTGCGATCACCAGATGGAACAGGTCGACATGCCTGGCTAGTTGAGTAACTGGAAGTTCCTGAGTTGTTTTGCAAGCCGAGGAACAATCAGGCAGGGAGAAACAAGCTGTCATAAATCAGGGGGCCTGGTTTTAAGGTGTAGGCTTGGGTCCTTCCGCCAGCCCCAAGAATGCCAGGGACCTAACACTATGTACCATGTAGAGTTAAGAAAGTCATTTCTATGTTATTAGTTTCACTTAAGTAACTAAAAAATTCTATATACTTATAGAGACATATGCAATGAGATAAATGTGCATTTTCCAAATAGAACTTATGCTGCTAACTTTCAAAATTAGGAAGATTCCATCCACATATGTGCCTTAAGCCTCTTAACCTAATACAAACACACTGCGATACTAGGGTCATCCACTGATCTGATATATGATTGCCTTTGATGTTTGTCTCTTCTAGTTACTAATGGTTGTATCCGTTGTACTGGAAAGGAACCCTGAGCTGGATTTCAAGACAAAGTAGATCTGGACAAACTGGTGAAAGAAGCATTTCATGAATTTCAAAAAGATGAGAGTCAGCTAAAGCAAATTGAAAAAATAGTAAGTAAAGAAAACAGCTTTTTGTAGAACTTTTTCATTGTCTCAATTCTTCAAATATCCTTAATCTCTTATCAAGTACAAAATAAAGTACTTGAGAAGCAGTCTGACTTAATTGAAGAATTATTACTTTTTAATTAATTACTAGTCAGTTCAGCTATGACTTTGTGACAAAAAACAATCTAAGAAGAGATAAATTTTCTTTATATAGTTGACAATTAAAATGTGCCGTACCAGGAAGGAGCCATTGATTCCAGAAGGCTATAAAATTAAATTCTGAAGATGATGGGAACACAGAATAATCTAACATTGGTGATATGTACTGCATAGTATAGTCCTTCTAGGCTTCTCTGCTTAATATTTTATGCTTGTCTGTGAAAGATTCTGTAAGTAAAAATTATCAGCAAAGTAGAAATACTAAAAATGTCTGTCTTTGTTTTACATGCTGAGAAGATACCTCAGGAAAATGAAAGAAAAGCTTAGGAGCTCATATTTTTTCCATGAGGAGATGGTTCTGTGAATTTATTTTTCCCTTAGGCTGATGTTGATTTTACCTGTCAATTCTTTACACCCAAAAAATCAAATGTCTTGCTTCCTGTTTCCTTTTGTAGGATGACATGACTTCCTTTTTACAACACTCCCCCCTGGGAAAAAGAGGAACATGCAGCTATTTGACAAAGGTTGTAATGAATTTGTGCTGGAGGGAGAAGTCAAGCCAAGCAATGATGACTCGTGTCTGGTTAGCTAGTGAGGAATTTGTAAGAGGCTCTGTGAAGATGCATTCACTAGAAGAGTGTTAGTTTTGTGTTAAAGTTTAATCAGGCAGCCATTAGTGTATGAACTGATCATGCTGGTGAGGTGATCGCCACATGCTTGGCACTTTCTTGAACTTTGCATGAATTGCCAGTCTAATGCTGAGAAATGCTTTTAATCAAGGGAAAAAGGATTTCACGATTATACCAACTATAATATATTTACTGAACAATAGAAGTTTATGAATTGAAAATTCACTGCTGCATGTTTTATAGTCAGATAGCACATGAAAATGAATCTATGCTCTTCAGACTGAATTTTACCTTCTATCATTAAAATGAACTTGTCAGCCAGTAACACTTACTGGGAAACAAAAGGTATTGAAAGAATGGTAAACATTTTATAAGTGGCATCATCATGCTAGAAAAAGATGTTAATACCCATATACAACAAAATTAGCCATATGATAATTTGATTTTCAGAAACTGCATTATTAACTAATTTAGTATACAGAGCTGTTGTCCAGTTTTTGCCTTTTAAACATGACTGTGGGTTTGAATTTGTGCTAAGTGTAGGATTTGGTCTAAAATATAACATAATATAATAATCCATATATTATCAAAGATTTTCTTTGATCTCCGTAAAAATTGGACATGTAGAGTTATTCAGAACTATGTTACATTTAGAGCTGTTAACCTTGTGAAAGCAAAATTAAAAGTCATTAAATTTTATTTCTGAATTAACATATCTGGGCACATTCTTTATTTAAATTCACAATACTGAATTTAATATGCAGAATATTTTCATTTAATTGATTTGGATGTGGAATGACGGAAAATCTGTGGTACTTGCATCATCATATTTTGCTACCAACTTACTTAAGCAAATGTCAATAAAAGTAAAAGCAGATTAAACATTCAAATTTTATGAATGCATTTCCTTCCTAAATGTTACATGCAGTGCATTACTTTGAGCCTTGATCCAAAGAGTCATTTTTTTTGACCAGTCTTAAGGAGTTTCACCTGAGAAGTTAGATTGTCAAATAAAATATGCAATCCGTTAGTAAGAGTCTGGAAAGAATAAGAAAGGAGAGGTGATTTCAGTAGCAAGTCAGTTGGTACCAAGTAAATGAATGTGTGAGCACACAGAGAAACCCAAAGAGTCAGTCTCATTTCCCTAACCCATAAGCCTAGATCTTGCATAAGAAATCGTATATACATTAGTTGGCAAAACTGAAAATATAATAAAATTTGGTGTTACAGAACATTTTAAGGAGATAGATGTGACAAAGAGAAAATGAAATTGCTTGACTTATATATAAAATTAATTTATGAAGAAGAGGTGGTCCTGAATAATGAAGCTAGTTTATAAAACTGAGAGGCCAGGAGAACTGAGTTTAAAATTCTTAGCTGGAGAAGGAAAATTAAGTTTAAGAGAAAGACTTTGAAGTTTTATTGTTTCAAAGAATTAAACTCTTGTTTTTTTTTCCCAAAAAAGTTGTGTTTTTTGTTTTTTGTTTTTTTGTGTGATTAGCTGAGCAAAGTTGCCAGAAATGCTATCTTAGTTGAATCAGCATCATTTGCAAGTGCATTTTCCTGAATGGAGCTTCTGCTCAGCTGTTATATAACAGAATTCCTGATAGTTCTCTGCACTGGAAGCATTCAGAATCTGCAACATATATACCAATTTGTGTGGAAGAAATTCAGACTTATTGTTCTGAAAAATATATTTGTAATCAGTAAATCCTGATGTTCAGCTAATCACAAGACAGTATCTGCTTTCTAGTTAGAAAACAATAAAATCATAAGAATTAGAAACAGAACTCATATGAAATTTAGAAGTTTCATTTGGTCGCAGAGCCCAAAATGTTTTAACAGCTGCACTAGAGGACTGATTGAAAATATTAGTACACTTATCCATGCATGACAAGATTGAAATTTGATTTAAAGCTTTTCTTTTCATAAATGGCAGATTCACTGTGTAAGTTTATTGTACAGGCGACATATTTTGGAGACTTCTGCCTGAATACCAATTCAACTGCATTTCCAGAGCTCATTTCGAGAAATATGTTTTCCCAGATTTCTTGCCACTTTTTTAATTCTTAAAAGTTTGTATTTCAGCTTTTAAATCAGAATATGGGATCATCTTGATATCATCTTCAAAATGTCCTGTTTTGCGTACATTGAGACACAATAAACATTGTGAACACCTGAATGCATTTAACTTTTTACCTTCATCTTAAAAAGTAGATTCAGACATGCTATTAGCCTTCATGAGCATGCATATATAGATGGCATAAAACTGCAAGAGTCAACATAATGTGAAAACATTATAGCAGCAACAACATCCCTTTAAATCAAGGAGAGTTTGGGTGGCATTAGTAGTATGCGAGCAGTATGCACCCTGTCATAAAAATAAAATGTGAATGAAAAACAAGTATAGCCTCATACCCATAAATTCTGAAAAGCAGCACAAAAACAAAGATTGCCTTAGTACATGGCTTAATATTCTGGCCTCCCAGAGCTTGTACAGAGGACAATTCAGTTAAGTAAATTATGAAGACACTGAACATAAGTCAGCATCCAGAGGGGAAAGTGGAAAACGTTCCTCAGGGATGGAAGTACTTCACTACATCCTTCCCTTATTTTCCAAAGGGCTACTGCACCACGAGTTAGAGAGGCACTCTTCTGGGCATTACCTTAACCCTTGTGGGCACAAAGGCTTAGTAAATACAAAGAAATCCGTCCTTTGTACAATCTTCATATCAGACAAATGGCTTAAAGTAAACTGGATTTCAGATCCCATTGTCCTCTCTATGTACCTTGATACAGTGCACAAACCATTGACTGCCCACTCTGTTCCCAAGGAAGGGAAAGGTACCAGGAGTGGGCATTTTTGACTGTCCAACTGGGAGGAGGCAGATGAGCAACAGTGACCCATGATCCCTCTGACTAGTTATCTCAACAGCATTTCTGGGAGCTGGTACCACTAACCTGTCTTGCTACCTGTTTGGGTTGTGGCTTTAAATTGGATGGTAGTTGGATTTTATGACTACCCATACACATTTTTATTTTCTATTAATGTTATTTGAATACGGACTGAATTCACTAATTCACATCTAAGGACAGTGCCTTATAATATTCATATATTCATTGTTCCAGACAGTAACTTTTGGTTTTTTTATTTGTAACAAGAGATGGTCAGCATTATGAGTAAATTTCCTGCCTCTTCACTCCCATCTCCAAAAGTTTGCCCCTGTTCTCCTCCTAACCAAAAGAAGAAAAGTATAAAGAAAATTAAAAAAAAAAATAAAAGCTTTTGGCCCTTCCTCAGTGGAGTGGGGACTTTCAGCAAGGCTTTCCATCCTCTGCTTTGGTTTGGTTTGTTGTTTTTGTGGTGGAGATAAAAAACCCAGAGAGCTGCAATGCTAGGCAGTGCTCTACCATGAAGCACACACACAACACACACACACATATACACTTGTTCTTGTTCTGGCTGCTCTTAGATATTTCCTGTCTTGGGAAGGGCTGCCTACTCCTAACTTGTATCTTACTGTCTGAGTGGGATTGTTCTGAGCTTGGGAGCAGCAAGGAGATAACAAAAGAGTTCAGAGTGGGGAGGGATTGGTTCAGAAGACAACACATTGTTTATGAGCACCCATAAAGCTGCTGCACTAATCGTGAGAAAGATGGAAGCTACTTGTAAACTATGTTTAAAAAAAAAAATTTATAAAAGCAAGGGATAGATAGAACCCATTTCCGAAAGAAGAGGAACCTCCACAGCAAATGTTCTATACTCTAAAAGAAATTAAAGAAAAAAGAAAATCAATGGAAAAGGAAAGCTGAGGCATTGCAATAATGGAGAAAGGAGAACAACAAGCTGGGGAAACAATTTCATAAATTAGAAACCACAAAGAAAAAATACACCACTAAAATCAATTTGACACCCAGGGAAAGCTAGAGATATTTAGTCAGTATTTACTGAACACCCTGTATATACCAGACACTGTCCTGGCACCGTGGTGGAGAAAAAAAAGATAGATTTCCTCTCCTCATACAGTTTTACCTTCTAGATGGGTTTTGGGGAACATGGGTTGGTCGGTAGTGATAACTACTATAAAGGAAAATAAGGTAGGTCAGTATTGAATACGTGGGCTCAGAGAATCCTCAAAGTATGAACATTGGCATGCTATATGCTTTAAACTAAAGGAAAACCAAGGTCCTCTGAACTCCCATTACTCTGAAGAGCAAGGGGCTCTGTAAGTTTTTTGTCTTCTCCTTAAAGTGGGATCATCCAGAAGATCCACTCACAGGAAGGAAGGCTAACATTGATACCAGAGTCTAGGTGAACATGACCAAACTGTTCTCTATTCTTCAGACCCTTCTGGAAAAATCATTTACTTTCTAAAATTGCTTAAAACCCACTTCCCTCTCCTGAATAAAATGTTTCTTTGCATTTCTATACTTTTGTTGCTCCTGGCCACAGGTTATTAGTTTCCTGTGGTTGTGGGAAGGCTTCTGACAAGGTGATGTTTGATCAGGAGATAATACATTGAATACAGATGGAAAAAGGATGAAAGACATGTTTGATCCACATATAACCAGTAGATAGAGTAAGCTGCAATTAGCACAGAAAAATCAAAGATATGAAAGAAATTTCCTAAATGACCTAAATAATTAAATTACAGATAAAAGAGAAATTCTTCTAGCAAAAAGCGATGAGAATAATATCAAAGCATATCTTAGAAAAAACACACATAACAACAGGAAAAAACCTGTTACTTCTAGTGTTAGTTCTCAACATCAGTTCATGTTGTTATAAATAATGTGATTAACCATCACAAAAACAAAAAGTTCCTTGCGTATTTTTGGTGGTGCTGGGGATTGAAGAAAATTTCTTTATTATGAGAATCAAGGATCATAAAGATTGTGGAGCCTTTCTTGAAAAACCATATTAGACTAAATCCAGTCAAACTCAAAGAATCAATGTGAAGAG